TGATAATTTTGGGAGGTTAATTTTATTTAATAGTTTGTAAATTAGTTTGTAAATTTCATATGTTCTAATGAAGTAAAGGAACTAAATTTTCCCAAATATTTGTTTAATATCCAAAGGCTCTCCAAAATTGTGAAGTTGATGGTTTAACTTATCATAAAAATTTATAAGATAATAAATAATTATTATAACTTTGAAAACTTCAATACCATCCGGAACAAAACTAAAACTTGAATTTGCCACAATACTACATTCATAATAACTATTATAGTTCAAATTAATTGATTGATTACATATAAATAGTTCTACCAAAACTGAATCCATTATCATTATCTTCAAACATTACATTGCATAATTATTATTACCTACGCCACTTATTTTCATATTTGTAGTATCCTTATCATTGTCAAAAGAAAATATAAACATTTCACTTGTTTCCCGCCATTCTCCACTTCTGGAAATGAACCAATTGGATTATATCTTCCTAGAATTTCTTTGTTGATTTTTGTTTGACTAATATTAAACACGAACCATGGTTATTGCATTTATTACAAGTGTAATATAGAAAGCCCATCTTGGCTAATGCGATAAGAAGATCGAATTCTTACTTTTTTCTTGAGCAGAGGATTAACTTTCAATCCAATGAGTAATTAATTAGATTAGCGAGATCCGGTTTAATAATTTGGGATTTGATTTCGATTTGCATTGTCCTAGTTCATTGAGAAAAATGCATCGTTTCGTTAATATATTTTAAAATAAAACTCCTCAATTTCTTCATAAGCATGATTTGAAATAGCAGCCTTATAAGGACGAACTTTATAAAAAAATCTTCGGGTGAAATTTCCAAATACCGAATAAGGTAATAATAGTTCTAACTTTTTTTTAAATGCTTCAAAATTCTCTTGGTTCCATTTCTCTATTACTATTCTTTGTTCAATACCTCATTTGATTAAACCATCCAAATGTCAATCTCTTCGGCTTGTAAATCGTCTCTCTTAAACAATCCAAGCAGTATGTCTTTATCTAGTGATTTGATGAAAGCTTTTCGAATTGATAAATGATTGTAGGTCAGACAGTTCGAATAAATAATTTAATTTGAATTCATAATCATGTCACAAAAGTTGGAGTGATATTGGGTTTTTAAATATGAACATATAATCCTTTTTTACAATAATTTAGACGAAAAGGCACTTTTGAAATACGGCGAGCGTAGCGTAACTGAATGTGCTCGAAAGTCTGTACATTTTGGTTTTCACCAGCTTGAAATATTACATTGTAATCATCGACATTATCATTTTAAGATTAATGAAAAATCTTTCGAAAGACCGGAATTATGAGAAGTTTCTCCTGATAGTTGCTTTTTTATCAATATTTCTAAATAAAATAGATAATTAATGAATCAATATTACTTATTTTATAAAAAATCAATAATTTTACTTACCGTTTATAATGATGTACTTGGCAAAGTTTATAAATGTGTTGTAAATGTTCTTTTTGCGTTTAATGCGAATATTTTGAGGTTTGAATTATTATTTTTTTAATAATAATAAAATAATAATTTTTGTTAAAACAATAATAAACTTACCTGTCTGCAATTATGAAACCCAATCCTTTTTGATGAATATGTTAAAAATTATAGGCTCGCCTGTATCTCTTTCACAACCAAATAAATCTTCAAACAAGTTTTGATATGCATGTGCAGTTTCAACATTTGTAATATTCGAACAAATGTTAAAGCTATATATATAATAATAAATTAGTAATTATAAAAATTAATAATAAATAAATATTTTGATCAATAAAATATTACATTTTTAAAATTATTAAGCAAATAAAAATTATTATAAATATTTACTTGAATATGAGATTTTAAAAAAAAATGCTAAATAAAATCGATTTACATTGTCTATTGGAAATTTCAAAGTTTCGTATATTGATAAGAAGTTAGTATTTAATAAGTTTATTTCTTTATTCTTTCTAAATGCTAAATTATAGCACATTAAAATTTTGTCTAAAAGAAGTTTGTATGAAGAAACAATTTTTTACTTTCAAATTGGTTTCTAGTTACATTTTATTCTAAATTTTATCATTCTCCTTTTAAATAAAGCCCAAATTTTTTATTTATTTTGGCAAATTTTTATTTTAGCAAAAATTCTCAATAATTTTTTACAAAGATGGCAAATCAATAATAAATAAAAGAAACATAATTTCATAGATTAAATGGCATAAATAATCACTAAAAAAAATTTCAATGTGCAAATAAACGATCAAGCTTTCACGAATAACGCTCTTTCGGCTTCACGGCGCCTCTCTAACCCTTTCACCACCTTTTTTGCAGCATAGACCCACTTGCCAAATTCCTTAGAAGCACCTTCATAATCACCAGCGTTAAGCTTCTTGAGTAATGTGGATGACGCAAGGTTTCCTTGGCCAAGGTTAAACGTGAAAGAAACCAAAGCGGAGAATTGATTGGAGTTGAGTTTAACTTTGACCAACGAGGTAACATGACCTTCGAATTTGGCTAGATCCGTTTTGAGCAATTCCTCGGCCTGAGCTTGAGTGATGGGTGCCTTGATGTCTTTGCACTTATTTGGATCTGCGTCGCAGTTATGACCGTAACCAATAGTTTTGTGACCCTGATATCAAAAATTAGGGATATGTAATTTAAGTTATTCATCGTAATATATTCGTTCATAACAAACTTACCGCCAAATCATTGTAAAAATCAGCACGAAATCCTTCAAAATCCTTAACGAGTTCTAAACCTTCAGCATTTATCTTCATGATTTCGATATTTGATAAACAAATAAAAAGTATTGAATCGTTCGTTACTTGTAAATTTGTAATATAAATAAAAAGTGTGAATTTTAAAATTAACACTTCGAAACGCCATTCACTCTATTTATACAAATATTTCCATGTTGGTCAATTAAGTGTTCCCATTGTTTCCAATACTATTTGTATTTGGACCATTGAAAGACAAATCTGCATGATTTCAAAATTTTCTTTGTTGTGTCCTCACATTTGGAAAGAATTACTGCATTATATCACCATATTTGGAAATAATAGTTTTTGGCAGATCCAATGAATAAATGGGTGAGTTCCGTGATTTTTATAGCCAAATGGAATGGATGGAGCCTTTTTTTCCCCCCCAAAAAATTATCTTAATAATACTTGTCCTCTCTGCAAATCGTGACTTATTTATATTTTTTGTTCAAAAAATCTCGCCTTCATCAATTTCGGTATTTTGGACGTCATCCTAAAATTAGATCACGTGTCGAAAATAAATAGCGATGCGTGGATATTTTCTTTGTATTAAATAAAGTTAGCCTATAAATTTAAAAGAGAGATATTACAATTTATTTTTATATATGCAGTACATTATTATAAAGTACATAATAGTTACGCGCTACTCATAATTACCACTATTTTCGAGTTGATTATCGTTATTATCGTCCCTTGAAAATGAGATTGCAAATAATTTGGCTACATTTGACTAATAGGTAATTCAAATTAAAGTTCCTGCAAGGAATACTGTACCTAGATTTACACGTCAAAATAAATTCAAGATACAAAAAAGAAATCAACAGAAAAAAATTAAAATTACTATTAGCTTAACCAAGGTCTTTTAGATTTGTTTTGGATCACTTATTTTATAACTGACATATAATTTCAGGTTTACTAACCTACGTGAATGAATTAGAGAGTTGCATTACTCTCAATTAAATCAATTTGCTACATTAAATTGAATAACATTTTCATTTCTACAGTACCAACAGCATGACAGTAAGATATCACAATTTCAATTTCGAATAACGTTCTAATGATCACTAAACAAAAATTGAAACAATATCAGATATACGTTGTTCAAAATTGTGATCGCAAATCATTTCCATGTAACTTTTCGACTGCATTATCGAAACAATTAGTTGAAACAATAACATCGCCGAAGTCGAAACTACGAATTAAAACTATTGAAAGTCGAACTTATGCATATTTCCATTTGCTAAAATAATTTGCCCCGCAAAAGGCTTCTACATTTATTCATGTCACTTAATTAATTTTATTAAAATTTAAAAAAGAATTAGTTCACAGTATCTTTTAATTTTATCCCAACGATTACTAAACTCAAAAATTCACACATTGGAATATTTAATCACACTTAAACCTTTATGCAGTAAATTATTATTTGACCATTATGGTGTGTTGAAATTGAAATTAAGTTTCTAAAATATATGTAAAATTAAGAAATCAATTGGCTTATGTCAAAAGTAGAAAGTTACACAAAAATTTTTTATGCATGATTACGCACATCACATGGTAATGATTTTTGCATATCCAATGTCTTTTAATGTGAAAAAATAAGATCATTATTATAAAATGAATCAATTTGGATTAATGTTGCGGCGTTTTTAATTGGATCGAATTAACTAGCTCTAAGGATTGAATTAATGCCTTAATTTGATAAAATACTTTATATACCTAGACGGCTATGAAAATGGAATGATCAATATTTTTCGTAATTCTCGGTGCGTTATCTGTTCTTTTCAAAAAATTAAACGTTCTTGCGTTATGGACATTTACCGGACATTTCAATTCATAAAATTAAAAATATATATATACTAATATTCAAATTGCATTTAAAAACAACGAGTCATTTTAAACAAGAATTGGAGCTAATCTAAATGACGAAATATCCAATATCGGCTGCGGTAATCAGATAAATACAAATAGTCTCTTAATTGGATGTTATATTAAAGCAAACTACATTTGTCGTATTTTATCCATCCATTTCTTATAAAAACCCATTACTTACTTTTTGAATTAAAATATTAAAATTTTAATCCGTGGATTCAAATTAGCAGAACTATTTATCATCCGACGAAAATAATGATCAGCCAAGTGCCTCCCAAAATTTTGGGGCGGATGAAGGTAAAATTATCATAATAACACATTAACATGCAGCTAAAGTCCTTTTTGCTCAAACTTAATATTCTAATCTTAAGTTTTCATTCATTTAGTTTCGGTAAACCCCATTATGGAACGTAACATCATTTCTTCAAACAAAAGTAAAGCTAAAAGCAAAAAAATCAAATGGAATGCTTATTCCGAGGAATTATTGCTTTTATTTTTGATTGAACGTTTCGAAGACGTAAAAAAATTAAAAAAGCGAGGAATTACGGCAAAGAATGTTAAAGGAAAATTATGGAATGATACATCTGTTATGTTACGTAGTTATAATTATGTCTACAATGCAAAAAAATGTGCGATCAAATCAAATATAAGAATCTTATACAGAACGAAAAAAAAGGATAGCCAAAAGCTTTGCATGAAATAGTTTATATTTATTCTGTTCGATAATATCTTCTTTCTTCACAATCAGAAATTTTGTATATTGAACGGAGTATTTTAATATATATGTTAAATGATGGTACCATTACATCATAAATTTATTAAGGTTTTTTTGTTATTATTTTTTTTTATTTGTTATTTAAGGTTTTTTTTTAATATTTTATTTGTGTTTTTTAAGTTTTTTTTTAAATTTTTATGCTTTTTTAAGATTTTATTTGTGCTTTTTTAAAATTGTAATTAATAAAGTGTTGTATGTTTATGATAAGAATATCACGTGAAATCACGTGAATTTCATTGAATTTTTTTCCGAGTTACACAAGTCATTGTACCCGTAAAGTGCAATTTATAAATAATGAATATGCCTACGAAAGGAGGAATTTAATAAAATGCTTTTCAAAATAGATCTCTCTATAATTTATTATGCTAGCATTTATATATTATATACTTTATATATTTCCATGTAATAATTCAACTCAAAATTTCTGTTTAAAATCATTGTTTAACGCTGGTGACAGTACTTTGCGTGTGTTATTACAGAAAAAAATGGTTATTTTCATCTTTAATTTAGCTACATGAATAAGTATTACCGGGAAATAATAAACAATATAATAATCAATAAATGTGTTGAAAGGAAGATAACGATAAAAGAATTGCCATAAATTATAATTGGGTTAGATGAGTCAAAGGAACAAAGTTACTACCCAGAACATGGTCAATTTCGTATTGTAAAAGTTCGATGATTTGAGTTGATTAAATTTAACATTAACCCGTTAAAAAAATTGTGGTGTTATAACCAATCATTATACGAAAAATTTTTTTATTATTGTCGATTGTTCTTATAAATAACATATTTTGGATTATCTCGCTTTTTCTATTATTTTCAGTTTGTAACCTGCCATTTTCTAAAAAAAAGTTGACAAATTTACGTCTTTGTATTTTTGAATCATAAAAGAATTGTAGAATGTGTACGTACGCATATCAAATCAAATGTATTTATTTCTTGGAGGCTGATGTTATACACATTCGCAACATAAAAAAAGTATCTCCTATAGGAGGTAATATGTTTATTATGTAGACGATAACGATACTTTGCTAATCGGAAGAATTATATCAATTTAACAATTTTCATTAATTAAATTTACAAGGATTCAAACTCTGCAGGTCAGATGACAAAGGCCATGATTTTCATTTAACGATCGAAAAATATAAAAAAAACTTCCATATCTACCTTCAGCCCTCAAGAAATTTGTTTATTTTGATTAAAATGGAACTTAGATAGGTGAATTTAGCCGCATAAGAAGAATACATAGTTTCGATACTCATTGCAAAATTCCAAACAAACTAAAAATCAAATATACAAAACTTTTTTACTTTGGTTTTTGCACGTTTAATAGTGTGGAGGTTACAGAGCCACAAAATGTATTACCTACAAAAGTGTCGAAAGGTGCTTATATGACACATGACTTTTGTATAATCGTTAAAAATATAAGCGTGTTATTGCCAGTAGGGATCGGAATCGAAACTGCGAAAATCGCCAAAATCGAAACTAAAATCGATTAAAATTTTCAAACTCGGTTAAAATCGTTTAATTGTAACGATTTTAAATCCGATTAATCGGCAAAAATCGATTACACAAAATAAATAAAAATAGATAAAAGTAGTAGATCTTGTTCTAATATTCTTCGGGTATATGTAGTGTATGGTTGACACTGTATATATTGTATGGTAGTATATAGTAATCATGCATGTATGGTATGTGTGAAATGCCTACAACTAATGAATGGAAAGTTATTAAAGGACTTACTGAATTATTAAGTCCTTTTGAAATGGCTACACAACTTTAAAGTGGACAACAATATCCTACTCTTAGTCTGACTTATCCAACTATGCTATCCTTAAAAAATCTACTTTTAACAGTTTTTAATCATTTTAAATCTAGTGAAGCAAAACTTGTAAGAGATGAGATCCAAGAGGATTTGTCGATTATCCAGAAAATATAGAAATATATGCAGTATTTTATGATCTGCGTTTCAAAGATTTATATTTTATTGATCAAGTTGATCATGTATGTATTTATTTTTTTAAAAAATTAAAATATTTAGACTTTATTTATTTATTTATTTTATTTAAGTATACAAAAGACCAATTTATTGAAGAATTACGTGTTGAATAACAAATTTCTACAGCATCTTCTGATATAGAACAATCTTCAACACTGACAACTTTAGGTTCTTCTGTTATGAGCATTTTATTTGTAAAAAAAGAATAATACAGTTCAAACAGTTGAGAAGGATGAATTTACAAAATGCCTTAATGAAGAAACTTTGCCTGTACTTGAACAATATGATCCTTTTGAATAGTGGAGAGTTAATAAAATTCATTATCCACAATTAACAAAACTTGCACAAAAATATCTTTCCATACCTGCAACT